TTTGTTACTGTGTCTGTTTCATTCAACTTGCTGTGTCCGTTTTATTCTGTGCGCATCTGGGATGCTCCAGAAGATTCGTACCAAACGCAAGAAGAACTTGCACTTACATTAGAAGTGACTCAACAAGCAATTTCACATCGTTTAAAATCGTTGGGAATGATTCAAAAACACGGAATTTGGGTTCCATATGAACTGAAGCCGAGAGACGTTGCACGCCTATTTTGCACGTGTGAAATGCTGCTTGCCAGGCATAAAAGAAAGGGTTTCTTGCATCGTATAGTCACTGGTGATGAAAAATGTATCCACTACGATAACCCAAAGAAGAGAAAATCATGGGGACCACCTGGCCATGCTTCAACATCGACAACCAAACCGAATATTCATGGAAAACTCATGCTGTGTATTTGGTGGGATCAGTTTGGTGTCGTGTATTATGAGTTGCTCAAACCGAGCGGAACCATTACTGGAGCTCTCTACCGAACACAATTAATGAGACTGAGCCGAGCACTCAAGGAAAAACGCGCCCATTACTACTCCAGACATGACAAAATTATTCTCCTACATGACAACGCTGAGCCACATGTTGCAAAACCGGTCAAAACCTATTTGGAAACACTTAGTTGGGAAGTCCTACCACACCCGCCGTATTCACCAGACATTGCCCCTTCCGATTATCACTTGTTCCGGTCGATGGCACATGGCCTGTGTAAGCAGCGCTTTATATCATATGAAGATACTAAAAATTGGGTCGATTCGTGGATTCTCAAAAGATGAAGAGTTCTTCCGACGTGGTATCCGAATGTTGCCAGAAAGATGGGAAAAAGTAGTGGCTAGTGATGGACAATACTTTGAATAAAACGTAATGTACCGTTCTTTTACAATAAATTCTTAATTTTTGATAGAAAACGGCGGAAACTTATTTGTACTCCTATTATACCCTTATAGGGTGCGTACAGTATTTGAAGACAAATTGACATTAAAACTGATTTGTTCATATCTTTTGCAAAATTTATTATAATTCCATGAAATTTTTACACGACGTTAATTGACTTCTAGACTATACAATTACTCAATAAAATCCCCGTTAGAGGCAATAACGGACTCAATCTGGGGTCGGAAACGATTGCATGCCCGAATCAAATGCTCTTTGTTCATTTTGATCATTGTTGTTGTTATAGCATCCTTCAGTGATGAAATATTATTATGAGGATGTTTATTGGTCTCCCGCTCAACTACGCCCCATACGTAATAATCCAGGGGATTAAGGTCTAGGGAGCTAGGTGGCCATAAGTTTAGAGTAATGTGGTCATAGAAATTTTCGGTCATCCAATCTTGTGTCGTTATGGCTTTGTGTGAAGAAGCAGAGTCTTGCTGGAATATGTATGGTCTATCCCCACGTACACTATCAATCCAGGGTTTCACAACTGTTTCTAAAACCTCGATGTAGGCGGTAGCATTCACCCGAAGCCCCTGACGAAAGAAGTGAGGTGGCATAGCATGTCCTTCGTTGCTCACAACTCCTAAAACCATGACAGTTGCTGGAAACTTCGTGTGCATAACACGGGGAACCTCTGTAGGATGTGAGCATAACCACCTGTCATTTCTCCGATTGATTTTTTGGTCTTGGTCGAAATTTTCTTCGTCAGAAAAAAACCACAACATGTTAGGAACTTCAGGGTGCTTAAGCTTGTTCAAAAGACGTTTTCTTCGGATAAGTCTCTGTTCCCGAGTTTGTGCCGACATAAACTGTCCTCTGCGCATAACGTAGGACGTATAGCGGAGGTCTTCGTGGACAACTCAACGGATTAGGCTCTCAGAGACATTCAGGTCCCTCGCAATAGCCCTCATGGACTTTGAAGGGCTTTCGTCAACGATCTCTTGCACTTGTTGGACAAATTGTGTATTTCTAGTAGTGTTCCTCATGTTTTTTGCGTTTTGCAACAGTTTCTATATCGCCAGCTGATGCTTCCAATTCACGACGAACCTTATGTACGAATGATCGGGCGCAATTGAGAAAATTGGAGATTTCTAAATCGGTGTTTTGCGCATATAGCGACGATAACTGCACGTCTCTTCATTTTTTGCGTTATTTTATAGTCCTCCATTGATGATCTGACAAGAAAAAAACAAATGAAATTGTTTTCCAGAAATTACATTCACATTTATGAGTGTCCTCAAATACCGTACGCACCCTGTAGGTTGTATATTTCTTAATAATTATATATAACTTCTTTAACATATGCATGATATATTCGACATAATACACTACATAGATATAACATTAATCCCAGACAGCACCGGACATCCAATGGGTGTACGTTTAACGTCCAATTTATGTCCATATGTCCGATTTACGTCCGTGGACATAAATTGGACGTAACAAGGATGTCCTTATTGGACATCGGACCTGTAGGACATCCGATGTATGTCCATCGGACGTCCTATGTCCGAAGTTGTGACAAACGTACTTTCTATGGACGTCTTTTGTAAAGAAAATGGACATATAACGGACGTCCAATGGACATCCGTGTGCTGTCTGGGAATATAACATGTATATATAACATGTTATCTAACATTAAAACAACGCAACAACATTCGGTATGCGACGAATATCAATATAGACTATGTTTCAAAATTACTAAAATGGATTATAATGGTTAACTCACAAAAGAAATATTTTGAAACAAATTCAAGGAAGTTTAAATAAAATTTTTAATTACTAAATCTAGAAAAAACTTTTGAAGAATGTTATCTCAAATCCTATCTTTTATCAACATGGTTTTCTTCAATGAAGTAGTTTCTATTTCTAAAAATAATATTGTAAAAATATATTTTTATGAAACAACTCAAAATCGAACAAGTAAGAATATTAAACCTAAAGAAATTTTTCTGTATGTGAGTTTTGTATAATATACAAGCGTTCTTAAATAGTATAAGTGCGGATATCTCCACGAAGATAGGAACATTGTATCCACGTGAAATCCATGTGGTTTTGTGGATTCTACGTGAATGTGTTCCACATAGATTCGATGTATTTTTTGTGAGGATATATATTAGTATGCATATAAACATGCATTATAAACGTCAATATAAATAGGTAATATGGTCTGCTTAAGCGCGATGAAGGCAATAAAAATACATAAAAACATAGAACTACAAAATAAAGCATCTACAAAAAAGCGGAACGGAATTTCTGATTGATTAGTTTTCCGCCATTTCTTTTGTTTATTACTGTTCCGCTTTGTTATTTCTTTCTCTATCGGAATGCACCCTTATTCGCAATAGAAAGCATTTGCAGCTTTTAATATGTGTGTGAAGTTAGCATCGCCATTTCGTAATTTCGCAAGAAACGAAATTGTGCTGAGTTGTGCTAGGTTTATGCCACATTGTGCCTCAAGAACCAATCGTCTATCTCAAAAAACAAAGCGACAATTAAGAAAAAACAATTTTTGGCCAGCACCGCCATTTTGTTTTTTCGAAAATACAAAAATTGTGCTGGTTGCAGCCTCGGCTACTGAAAGTTGCGCCGCAAAGATAAAAACTCTATTTCTTTCCGTTCAAGAGAAGAAAAATATCAAAGATTTCGAATTTAAGATATAGGCCTATATTCAGAACGCGCTAACATATACGCTGCCATATACGCTTCTAAATACGCGAGATGTAGGTGCGTTTGTTAGCGCTCGTATGCAGAATGTAAGAACAAAGCACTATTACCTAAAGACGAAATAACAACCAATAACAGTGCTCGTTTCCGTGCAGTATGTGGTTATTGGTTCTTTTCATATCGTGTAATGTGGATGCGGCAAGAGTACGAGACGCGCGTCGTACAGCGATGTTCAAATATTCGTTGACGATTTTCGCGAAGTGGAGTTCTGATATATTGTCAAATTGTGTATAGTAAGTTTATTCATTATATTAATTTACATTTCAATCTTATAATTTTGTTACATTGCTTATTTATTATTCATTGCTTGCTCTTATCAACGGATAATTTTAATAAATATACATGTTCGTATCTTTATAGATGAGTGACAAGAGAAGGGAAAATTTTTCTGCCGAAGAAAAGAAAACAATTGATTTAGTCTTCCAGAATAAAAGTATACTGGAAGACAAGAGCAATAGTGTAAAAAATAAATGTTCCCGGCAGGAAAAATGGAAAAATATTGCCCAAACAATATCGGCAATCGGAGTTAGGCAAGAATGGAAGGAGGTACGCGGTGCGTATCAACGTTGGAAAACACAGGCGAAAAAAAATTTTACGGCACATGAAAAAGCATTAAAAGGTACTGGTGGTGGTCCACAAGAATCAGAACTTCCCCTTTGGACGATATGCTCAGAGAAAATGTTCCAGCAGATTTTGAGGAAGATGAAAATATTGGGTTAAGTAAAAAGTTTTGAGCGTTTTCCGCTAGATGGCTTTAGTGACGTCATATCTCACGATGTATACGTCGCATCTGGTCATTCTATACTACAACTTAAAGGTGACAACGCTTTAAAAAAAGTTCTTTGACAGTTTTGTATTTGGTGAAGCCAGTTGTGTGTTAGAGTATTCCAAAATGGAGGTAAAAAAAGAGAAAATTCGATACATTCTTCAATACCACTACGACTAAAAGGAAAAAGCGGAGCAGGCGGCCAAAAAATTGTGTGCTGTTTACGGACCCAATACAGTATCGAATGCAACAGCAAAGCGGTGGTCCCAACGATTCCGTTCTAATAATATAGACGTCGAAGATGAGACACGCTCTGGTAAGCCAATCGTCGAAAATGTCGATAAAATCATGTAAATCGTCGAGTCGGACCGGCATGCGAGCACTTATTCCATTGTCCAGGAACTGAAGATTAGCCAGAAAACCGTTTGGAACCATTTGCATAAGGCTGGTCTCAAGAAGAAGCTCGACGTATGGGTGCCACATGAATTGACGCAAAAGAACCTTTTGGACCGAATTCATACCTGCGATTCTTTGTTGAAGCGTAACGAAATCGACCCATTTTTTAAGCGGATGGTGACTGGCGATGAAAAATGGGTCACATACGAGAACAACAGGCGAAATAGATCGTGGTCCAAGCGTGGTGAGCCGGTCCAAACGATCGCCAAGCCCGGATTAACGGCCAAGAAGGTTTTACTGGACCTGAAGAAGGTGTGTTTGGTGGGATTGGGAGGGAATTATCCACTATGAGCTGCTCCCATCGGGCCAATCACTCAATTCGGACCTACACTGTCAACAACTGACCAGATTGAAACAGGCGATCGACGAGAAGCAGCCAGAATTGGCCAAAGGAAGGGTGTTGTGTTCTATCAAGACAATGCCAGGCCGCACACATCTTTGACGACGCGCCAGAAGCTCCGAGAGCTTGGATGGGAGGTTATATCGCACCCGCCGTATAGCCCAGACCTGGCTCCAAGCGATTATTACCTTTTTAAGCATTTGCAAAATTTTCTTGATGGTACAAAACTGGCCTCAAGAGAAGCTTGTGAAAATGAGCTGGTCAAGTTTTTTACCAATAGGGACGATGACTTCTTCAATCGCGGAATTATGAAATTGCCTTCAAAATGGACAAAAGTTATCGAACAAAACGGCGCATATTTGATCTAAATCCGATAATCTTAACTTTGTTAATTTCATCGTCGAAATAAAGAGAAAAAACGCTCAGAACTTTTTACTTCACCCAATATATTAATATTTATATATATATTTAATTATTTTCATTCTTAATATATTATTATTGATTTTGTATATATTATTATTACATATTCTATGTGGGTGAAGTTACTTAGTTGTAGTTAATTTACTTCGTTATATAATTGTAACTGAATCCATGCAAAATATATGAGTTATTTTAAATAATACAAACCTAACTCCGTCTGGTAGCATCCTTTGGCATAAAATCTAATATAATAAATAAGGGGCTTATCTAGTGTGACCATATGAAAATGAGGGCAATTTTCGAGGATTTAAAAAAAACTATTCTACCATATATTTTAAAAGTTTGAGGCTATATTAAGTAACATTTGAAGAAGTTATAAAAATTTTATTACGAAAAAATATTGACATGTATTGGAAATATTAGTAATTTCTCGGAGGTAAAAAAAATGTAGCCTAACTGCTGCAGCGATAAGTGACGTCAGAGTGCCTGAAATAAGAAAAGACAAAGAGGCGTTAAACTAGATAAGTTTTCCTATACAGTGAACTAGGATTATGAAAAAATATTGAAAATTAAAAAAATTACGATGTTGTAAAAGAAAAAGTTCGAATTTAGCAAAAAAAAGTGCCCGTTTTTTGCGTGGCAAATTGACATTTGTTGACGGATTGAAAAAATCCTAGTTTACTGTATGACAAAACATGTACTGAGTATGCCTATCAAATTTGAAGTTGATTAATTAATTTGTTCGCGAGTTATGACTGCAGCAAATTTCGAAAACGTTGTTTCGAGAAAAACGCGTTTCAAGTTTTAACTATTGATTTTTTTGTTATAAAAGAAAATTTATCATACAGCTATTCAACTATTCCAGGCCCATATAATTCGCCTTCCTCTTGTTCGAAAAATTGTTGCTGGGCCGCTGCAGCTGTCCTGCGAGCTGTCCGAGCCTCCTTTGAAGCTTCGCGGTGCCGTTTTTCTGCTACCTTCGTGTCTCGTTTTTCTGCATAATCTTTGGCAGAGGGCCCAATAATCACTCCCATTGTTTCAAATGCTTTCAAAATAGCTTGGAAACCTTCATTAAAAATTGCAACAGCAAAGAAATTGGCCAGTTCTATTGTTTTTAAACTAGTGTGAAGGTGTTTAGGAGCAAAGTGCCACAACAAACCATTATAACTTTCGTTATTATTTTGTGTATTACTACCCTTGCACCTGTTTAATAATTCAGGCCTACTTAAATCACTAAAAATTGGCTCTAGAACTTCTTGAATCTGTAGGTCCAGAGGGAGATAGTCATGTTTAAATTTCGTCATGTCGTACTGGTGTACTCAGTCGACTGCTCTAGCGTGTGTCGATTTCCCTGGAACTTTGTTTTCTTATTGATACTTCTAGCGTTAGAGTATGATAGAGTGTGTGCCTTTTTGAACACTATATTGACTTTTCCCACTCATTTTGAATGAAATTCGCGCTGCGATGTGCTCTGCACAGTGGCTAAAAATGAACTAAACGAGCCGCTTACGTATACCTGCGTCGAGCGACTTCGAAACCTTTTGAGCTGGCAATAACGCTTTCGTACAAACATAAAGGGATTATTGTGAGTCCTTGGAACTACCAGGCTCTCTTTTCTATCTTTGAAGTATAAACGATTACGTCAGAGCCTAAGAACTACCGCAACTTTTTTTTTTGTTCACGCAGGGGAAATCCATCATGGATACCCCAGTCCTCTTTGGGAGGGGCGTTATGTCGGACTCTTACCGACTAAAACCCCTGCGGGATGTCTACCTGTCGGACCGTGAGGAGGAGAGTTAGGGGAACTGCTCCCGCATTCCCTCCCCAACCCCCCGGCCCCAGGACTCTAATCCAAGAGCCCCTCGCCTCCTTGTACCGCACCCCCCTTCCCCTTTCAGGGAATTAGTGGGAGAGGTGCAGTCCCCAAGCGGGTAACTCCGCCGGTTGGCCTTCTGGTATCACCTTGGAGGAAGGGGACATCCACCCTTCCTCCTTATTCCCCTTTCCTAAAGGGAGACGGGTGGATTTTTGGGGAGGTGGGACCGACTTCAATCGGGTTCCCCACCTCCCCTTCTCCTCCCTATCCAATCACTCGGGAGAGCGGGAGGTCTTCCTCCCGCTCCCCTCCGAGTGGCGGAGCCTGGCCGAGGGAGCCGCCGGCCCGTGTAGGCCAACGGCCTCTCCTCGTCCGATGCCATCTCGAGCCCGCTGTTAATACCCCCCCCCCCAGGGGAGCGCCGACCCCGCCGTCCTCTGCGACGGCGTTTGCCAGGCCGGCGCCTCCATTCGGCGGCCTCCTTCTAGGAGATTACCTCCCCGCAGAAGGAGGCCGCCGCGTCCTACGCCCTCTCGCTCCCACACATGGCTCGCACTAGGTGCGGGAGCAAGAGCTCCCCGTCGCGGCAATCCACCGCCCCGAGCAGGACCTGGCGCTGTTCATCCCATGCTGCACAGGCAGCTAGGGTATGCAGCGCCGTGTCCTTTTGCTCGGGGCAGTGGTGACACCGAGCGGTTGGGCTCCTTCCTTATCCGGTGCAGGTATCTCCCGAAGCACCCATGCCCGGTCAACACCTGCATCAGACGGAAGGACATTCCACGCCCCCCCGTCTGTCATTTCTGACAGACAGGGGCGGACAGAACTACCGCAACTGCCCGGCGTCCTACCTCGCCGGCGAGAATCGAGTTTATGGCCCCCGACCAGTTGCGCTGTCGTATCATACCTGCCGTTTCTAAAATATTTCAGATACAACCATAACACTTCAGGATATTATTCTACAGATGTTAAACTGTCAAAAAATGCAAAAGAAAATTCGATTTTTTCAAACCGTCACACTAGGTAAGCTCCTTAAGACGATCAGCACTTGTAACGCTGGTGACATATCCTTTATACGCCCAGCCTGAGAAGATAACCTCTCTTCTACTAAGCCTATCACAAACCGCACTGATTCTTTTGACAATCTGTACCGATTTCGAAATTCAATATCATTTAATGTTCCAAACGGATCAATTCTATCACGAAAAACTTTGCGGCCTCCTTTCTCGTAACTGTGCAACATTCTGCACTTCCCGTATATCATTCATCACGCGAATGTACTCCATTGCTTTCTTTAAATGTGACAGGAGCTGTTACGCTGTGCGCTTATACATGGCCCTGACCACTTTTATCGCGCGCTGCTAAGATATTGATATGTTAGCGAGCTGTTACGACTTATTCGTGGTTCTGAATAAGGATTTTGCTCTAAACACGCGTGATTATCGATATGTTCTAATAAAACGCTGCTATTATCACGTTGAGAATACGCGCTAATAAGAACGCTAACATCTCGACTTGTTAGCGTGCTAATATCTTTGTTAGCGCGTTCTGAATATGGGCCATAATGTTTATTCACATAAAACTTTTGAACTGTGACAGATAAACGAATTCTGCGATATGTGCTGAGTTGAATAGGGTCTATTTTGATATTCACTGCCAGCACTGAAATTATAGTATATGTGATACGAGGGTAGTTTGATAAGTCAGTGACTTTTTTAATAAAAGATAATTTTTTCGGCAAATAAGCGTCTTATTTTTCAACGTAGTCTCCTTTTAGCTCGATACATTTAGTCCACCATTTTCCCAATTTTTTTATTCCTTCCAAATAATAGGTTTTCTCAAGGCCCTCAAAATAGGCATTTGTTTCAGTGATGACCTCTTCATTCGACCCAAATCTCTTACCGCCCAGCCATTTCTTCAGGTTTGGAAACAGGAAATAGTCGCAGGGGGCTAAATCTGGTGAATATGCTGCATGGGGTAGCAGTTCGTAGCCCAATTTATGGACTTTTGCCATGGTGACTACATACGTGTGCACCCGTGCATTGTCCTGATGGAACAGCACTTTTTTCTTCGCCAAATGCGGTCGTTTTTGCTTCAAATCAATATCGAATCTGTCCAAAAGTTCTGAATAATATTCGCCGGTGATCGTTTTACCATTTTCAAGGTAATCGATGTGAATGATACCGCGTGCGTCCCAAAAAACTGTGGCCATGATCTTGTTGGCCGACAGACCCACCTTGGCCTTCTTTGATGCACGTTCACCCGAAGAAACCCACTGTCTTGATTGTTCCTTGGTCTCTGGTGTGATGTGATGGATCCATGTTTCGTCTACGGTAACGAAACGGCTCAAAAACTCGTTCGGATTGCGGCTGAACATCGCCAAACACTCCTTTGAAATGGTCACACGGTTGCGCTTATGGTCGAGTGTGAGCAATCGCGGCACCCATCGCGCGGATAGCTTTTTCATGTCCAAATATTCATGTAAAATGTGATGTACCCACTCAGTTGATATGCCTACAGCCTCAGCCACTTCACGCACTTTCATTCTCCGATCGTCCAATATCATTCCATGGATTTTATCGACGATTTCTGGCGTGACGACCTCTTTTGGGCGATCTGAACGTTCGGCGTCACTTGTGCTGGTACGACCACAACGGAACTCAGTAAACCACTTCTTAACCATTGAAATTGATGGTGCAGAGTCCTCATAGTATTTATCAAGCTTTGCCTTGGTTTCGATGATGGTTTTTTTACGCAAAAAATAATGCTTAATCAGCACACGAAATTCACTTTTTTCCATTTTCGTTAAAATTCACGAGGTCTGCTTTCAATGGCTGTCAAACACCAACTAAATGGCGCAGCTTGCCCAAACTTGTACAGTAGTCTATTAATAGATGGCAGTTGACGGGAGCAGTGCTGCATTTAAAGTTACTGCGCGGAAAATTCAAAAAGTCACTGACTTATCAAACTGCCCTCGTATAAACTATATATTTTCTATATTGGCAGTGAATTTCGGAACGCAGCCGTAGCTACAGCTATACTATAGGAAAGAAAGAGATTGTGCAGATCGCGCTTTCCTTTTCTACTGCCCGAACCTTGCCGAACGCCGGGCGCACACGGACACGGCTCAACACG